CTCAGCAGTTGAACACAACCATCGCATTAATCAATCACCTACAACCGTTCTGATGTGAGATAGTACACTCGTATTACTTAAACGCGCGAAATTTTCAGTTAATGAGGAAGTGCGTTTAATATATTACAGTGGTTTAACTTGACCTATGTAAGCATTGGAAGAATTTAGCCGATAACTGTACATGATTTGCCACAAGTTGTAGGGTAATGTTTTTGACTACAAACCACATGTCTATAAAGATTAGCAAATGCCGCTATTTTTGCTAGCGAATTTATGGAAGTAGCAGAAAGAGTGTAATCAGAGTGTGGAAGGCATTGTTGTTTATGACAGAAATAATTACAGTCAAAGGTAAGCGTAGTTGTCTTTTTTTCCATTCATGTTGCTACAACAGANTGCTTCAAACTTGGCACGATTGAGGCCGTGTTAAAAAAGACTAATATTTTGTTATAAATTCGTACAAAAATTCCAACCTTCTTCGCAGTTACTGTACTGTGTTGGCAAAAAACGAACCAGGAACAATGTTTGTAACAGCCCATCCAAGTTATGCAAGATAGACTCTTGTCGAGGTTTTCCTCTGTAAAACCAGTCCAAATGCATGCAAGAGTATTGTTGTAGTCACAATCACAATTGTGTAAATCGTATGCTATATGACGTAGATGACGAAATTAAAAGAGAAAGAAATGTCAATGCTTTGCATCCTGCACACAATTGTCTCTCTCCTGTTTTGCAATTAAATAAAATGTGAGTATTCAATGTAAATTCTCATAGCATGACAAGTGAGTAAAAAAAGAAATTTGGCTTATTAGAATTCTCCATTTGTGTGTGTGTGTGTGTGTGTGTGTGTGGGGGAGAGATGAAATTGAGAGGAGCTTGCTTCCTGTATTAATAGCTTAAGTGTTTGGCTCTAGTTTTATACATGGGCTATGTTCTCCCCTCCGCCTCCTCCTTCCCTTTCCCCCCTCCTCTCTCTCAGCATAGAGAGTATTTGCTCTTTGTCTCATATTCACAAGCAGTGGATGATGAAATTTCTCATACTTTACAATTTTTAAATTTTATAACTTTGTTGCTTTTTGTGTCAGTCGTCGAACTTTTTTTTTTTTTTTTGTTTTCAGGAACGTGTATGTGTATGTGTATGTGTATGTGTGAATGTGTGTGGATATAGGGGTGAAAATACTGTGACGATTAGAATTGAGAGAGACATTGGCTTTACTTCTACTCAACCTCTTAATACCACTATTCGGGTACCTGTTCAATTGAAGTGATTAGAATAATAACACACACACACACACACACACACACACACTATAGCTTTTTACGGAGTGGGTATCTGTAGGAGTAAGTAAGTGTGTGTGTTTCTATTAATAAAATACTTTTCTCTCTCTTTCTGCACGTTTACAAGTTACACAAATTTGCGACTACGAAGGAAGTAGATTTTAATGGGGAAGGGCAGAGGGGTTAGGCTTGGTAGTAGTGATTTGTGAATTTCATGTAATGTAAAGGAAGAGAGGGAGAGAGCATATACACGTAATAGCATCACTCGATCTTTCTCGTGTTTGGAACAAACAGAAAACAATAAACGTGTGTCGTCTCCTAAGTAGTTCACAATTTAGTTTAAGCCACACCTTTTGCAAGCAGTGGATTTGTGTATTCAATGCAATTACACGTACAAGTAGGAAGAGATTCCGTTGTAGGAGTAGAATTTCAGGATATAAATAGGGGGAGGGGGGATGGGAGAACCCCGTCGCTTGCCTCTCTCATTAGTTTTCTCCTTACTAGAAACACAACTTAATAGCCCTGACTTACAACTAACTCACTAATCTACAATGGTTTTCGGATTCGGTAAAGACGACAACAAGGACGACAGAAGAAGAGGAGACGACGACAACTACGGATCGTCAAGAACCAATGATGACAGCAACTTTGGCTCTTCCAACGATGACAGCTATGGTTCTTCTTCCAGCAAGAGAGGTGGTAACTCATCTTCATTTGGCAACGACGATGACGATTCTTACGGCTCCTCAAACAGATCAGGTGGTGGCTATGGTGGTAACGATGATGACAACAACTTTGGATCGTCATCATCAAACAAGAGAGGCGGTAACTCATCCTCATTCGGCAATGATGACTCTTATGGTTCCTCAAACAGATCTGGTGGAAACTCTTATGGAGACAACAATGACTCTTATGGTTCCTCAAACAGATCTGGCGGAAACTCTTATGGAGACAACGACGACTCCTATGGATCATCAAACAGATCTGGTGGAAACTCTTATGGAGACAACGACGACTCTTATGGATCATCAAACAGACGTGATTTCTAAATTACTTCTACTGTGCTAAAGTATGATGGCGTGTATAGTTTAATCTCATAAAATCTTCCACTCATATATATGTTTGCATCAATTCACTAAAAGAGCACCTGCAAATGCACATAAAGTATGCGATCCATGAACCGGAGTTAAAGTCAATATATTAGATATAATTCTATACCAATTGATCGGATTTAGGAAGAGGAAAACAAGTCTTATACTTGTAGTATCCAAAAGCTCTTCTTGGGTAAGGACCTTCTTTGATGAAACAAAGCTCAATAGGTTGCGTCGTGCTGAACAGTTAGATTGCTGACTGTACGACAATCATGTCCCCTATTCACTTGTTTTACAATGGGGCATATAAAACCTGTGTCACGTATTTCCGCTTGTATCGTACAATTGAAGCAACAGCCAATGTGTTGTGTTTGATGGAAGTAGTAGCCAAATGGTTCAAAACAACATGGTTGGGAATAGGTAAAGCACCAGAGTTGTTATCATTGCTGTTGAAATTGTTCAATATGACACTTTCCAAATGAGGTGGTAGTTGAGGCGGATGTAACCATGCTTGTTGTTGATTGCGGCTGGATCTTGATTGTTTTTCAATGGCAACATAATACTGTTCCATCACTTTTGGATCAGTGAAAATGGGCGGTATGTCATGTATGTATTCCAATTTTTTGTTTGTGCCACCACCATCACCGCCATCCCCTTCTAAATCTCCGTCATTGTCATGATATCTAGAGTACCCATTGCCCATATCGTCATCGTCATTAGTGAGACGCCACATTGAATCGGTTCTCGAGCGCGACGTGGATGATCTTCGACTTGATATGGAAGAAGAAGTGGATCTTCGTCTCTCTGATTGCCATTGTTGTGGTTGCAGTGGGTCCTGCTGCTGCTGCTGCTGCTGCTCTTGTTGAGCTGGTCCTGGACCAGGTTCCTGTTGTTGATCCTCTTGTATTCCATATTGTCCATTCACAGGAACGAAACTCTCGATTCATTGTCAGCGACAAATCCAAATTTACCTTCCAGATGAAACAGCACTCATGATGTGACAAAAATTTCAGTCTCTATTATCCCCCATCGGAAACATTCTCAAGAGTAAAGCTTAGAATACCCAAGTCTGTTTCGCTGATTACTTGCACGTGTTCCATACTATCACGCAGTTTGGTTTCTTTGAGCCTCACCCAATTAGACCCTGCGTGAATATCTTCGTGTATGCCAACAGTGATTTTAAAAAACAAATCTTCTTCTTGGGTTTCAGTGACAGTTGTTGTTTTACGCAACTGTTGTATATGCTGAAATAAATTAGTCTGAAAGTAAGTGTAAATTTCAATCCATGATATCCCTGGTATATTCAAAATCGACGACGTGTCATGGTCAACAAGTTTCAACTCGGAAATTGTTTCATCTAAAGAAAGAATGAATTGTTGAAATTTCAATGAATAACTTCTCACTACGGTGTCATTCTTGGTATTGTAGACGAAACAAGTGATTTTATCAAGTCCATTCGATTGTTTCTTATTAATGATGAGATTGTTAATCACATTCAAAAATAGGTCGTCAATGTACTTTTCCAAATGGGGGTGCCTATTCTTCCATACAATTACGTTGAATGCCTTGTATTCATCAAATATTAAGGGGTCGTATATCTTGTTATAGTAAAGTATTTGATTCAACCAAACTGAAAGAAACTCTTTGAAAACTACTAGGAGGTTGTTGACAGTTAATGGAATGTCAGGTGTTTCACTTGCAATTGTCTTTTTCAACTTCATTGTCCCATCATGATGGGTGCGTCGCTAATATTGTCGTCCTTTTCACGCATTGCACTTGTATCCAGTTTTCAAAACTTTGATACACGACCACCATCTAGAGTTGATTTGAAACACTACTCACTCAGATACAAGAATAGCCTGATTTAATTGAAATTAACCAACGCGCGAGGAACCAGACTGTATAGGAGAGGGTCTCTATTGCTCCCTGTTGTCAAATGGGATTTGAGTTTGTAAAAACCCATATTTATCTGAATGGTTTACATGTAAAAATTTTAGAATGTCTGATCAGACGCGCAACAACCTCGTTCTCATTTACTTACAGGCAAAGCTAAGTCACCTCACCATGTCCCTGATTCAGAGTATTAACGCCGTTGATGTGTCAAAAATCACATCAGGACAAGTCATTATCGATCTTAGATCCATTGTCAAGGAACTTGTTGAAAATTCAATAGACGCGTCAGCATCAAAAATCGTAGTCAATTTCATCAATTACGGTATCGACTCCATAACTGTCCTAGATAATGGCAAGGGTATAGAGAAGGAGGATTTTGAAACGGTGTGTTTGCGAAGCCATACTTCAAAAATCAACGATTTAGACGACTTGACCAAGTTGGGAACCTTGGGATTTCGTGGTGAAGCGTTGAATTCGATTTGCGCGTTATCCTCCAAAGTGAGTATAACCACACTGACTTTGAGTTCCTATCCTCGCAACTACACTCTAAAATACGATCAGCTTGGGCAACTTAAAGAAGAGACAACAAAGGTGGGAGGAATGAGTAATAAATCAGGCACGTCAATAACTATTGAATATTTGTTCAAGAATTTTACAGTTCGACGAAAGAATTTCATCAAGAATTCGAGAAGGGAGTTTCACAAGGCAATAAACTTCATCATCAACTATTTGTTAATATTCCCGGAAATCAAATTTGAAGTCACCAATACGAATTCTAGTGGTAAAAAGCAACTAGTTTTATCATCAAAGGGAGGAGAAAATAACACAACGGTGGAGAATTTGATCACCATATATGGAAACAATGGTAATACCAATCTTCTCAATGTCGATATTGAATTAGAATTTGAAGCAAAGCTAAGTGGCTACATTTCGTCATATTCGTTTGGATTGGGACGGTCAACCCCTGATAGGCAATTTTTGTTTGTCAATAAGCGACCTATAACGTTTAGAAAGCTAACAATGTTGATAAATGAAGTTTACAAATCGTTTAATCATGTACAGTATCCAATCTATGTATTGAATCTTGAAATTGATCCTGAATTGATTGATGTTAATGTTTTACCAGACAAGACCAGTGTTTTGCTCCATAATGAAGCCCGAGTTTTAGAATCCATACGTGAAAGCCTTGTTGAGTTTTACACAATGCAGGATAAGGTAATAATCCCGAAAAGTCTACGACAACAAGTACCATTTGACGAGTATCGTGCTACAAAAGTGGAGTCGCACATTCCAACACAAGAGGATACCAATGGTGGCTCTATTGACATCAGGAAGATTATAAAAAAGGAGGAAGAAAATTTTGAGGGTATACAGACTGAAAAGTCTCAATCGCGGAGTGAGCAACCAAGTGAGAATGAAGAGTACGTGGCGGACGCCAATGAGCTTGAGGTAGCTCAATCTGAAGAGTCAACAATGAAGAGTAGATTACTGTTCTGTGAGGATCCAGGGGTTGATCAAATAAGGAAACCACTATTGCAAACAGGACAAGCTCAAAAACTAGGTGGGCATCTCGAAGTCTTGCGCTCAGTATATGACCATGATTCAAAGAATACCGACGGAACTGTTGAACTGTTGGATGTGCAAACAGAGGAGACCCATAATATGAAGGCGAAAATTGATGATGTTATCGAGACCGACAATGACGGGGAAGAGCAAGAGAAGGGCGAGGAGGAGAGTGAAAAGGACGAAAAGGAAGAAGAAGCTGAGGAAAAGGAAGCTGAATTACAAGTTTCTTCCTCGCAGAAGGAAATTGCGACACTGAGTCAACTGGTTTTTAGTGTTTGCACCGGTAAGAGCCAGGACACCTATAGAGTCGAAAGTCAAATGGAAGACTCAATTCCCACATCACAAGTATTATCAAATTTTTCTTACAATGCACCAGAAACCCAAACTGACACTAGCGATATACAAGACAACCACGGTGTAAACTTTTTCCCCAAGCAAACAGATGCTAGTGAGGAAAGCATGTACATCAAGATTGGTGATGAAGAGTTTGAAGAGAGGCCAGCAAAGAGGTTCAAGTCGTCAACTTTGTACACCAAAACATGCAAACAATCATCAGAAGCATTGTTATCAAAGATATTATCCCCACGTAATTTTGATAATGACAAGAAAGAGATCAAGAGTAGTCAAAAAATTATAGTCAACCAAAACTTGGAGGATGAAGGTATTTATCATATTTCCAAGTCTGATTTTCTCAAAATGAAACTAGTTGGTCAATTCAATTTGGGATTTATTTTGGTTCATCATAAATCCAATTTGTTCATTATTGATCAGCACGCTTCTGATGAAAAGTTCAACTTTGAAAGATTAATTGAAAATTATAGCATCCAAAATCAACCATTGATTAGACCACAAACTTTGGAATTGAACATCATGGACGAAATGTTGGTAATTGACCACGAGTCGGTATTCAGAAACAATGGTTTCAAATTCACAATCAATCATGAAGGTAAGCTAGGATCAAGAATTGTCCTAACTTCATTACCAGTATACAAAAACATCATGTTTGACACCAACGACTTCATGGAGTTAATCAATTCAATCAACGACCAGCCAAGCAATAAACATATAAAGTGCTCCAAAATTAGAAAAATTTTGGCGATGAAAGCTTGTCGAAGTAGTATCATGATTGGATCTTCATTGTCTCGAAGCAGGATGACGCAAGTGGTACAAAATTTGAGTCGACTTGATAAACCATGGAATTGTCCACACGGAAGACCAACAATGAGACATTTGAGTGAGTTGGACAATTGGGATAGTAAATACTTTGATTATAGGTTGTAAGAGAGGGAGACGATTGCAAAAAAAAATTTCTTTTTATTTTTTTCAAAAGAAAATCTTTTTTTTGTCATTTTGTGAGAGAATAGAGAGCATCAAAGCAGAGCTATTTTACCTTGATCAATCTCTTCTGGCTTCTCTGTACATGCATACCATTAGAGGAAGCAGTAAATCACTTACTCGTTTCATACCAGTTAGACCAACAAATCTACAAAAGACTTTAGCCACTTTATCAAACTCACAACAAGAAGATACCATCGGCATGACTGTTCCAGCGACTACCACTACCACTACCACTACCACTACCACAAATAGTCCCCCATGCACCACATCCTTACCAAAGAAACTTGCAGGAAGGGATCTATACAATGCCATCGGGAAGCCCAAAACTATAGTAGCACCAATGGTGGACCAATCTGAACTAGCTTGGAGGATACTATCTCGCAAGTATGGTGCTGATTTATGCTACACCCCAATGTTTCATGCCCGATTGTTTGTAACTAGTGAAAAATATCGCAAGAGTATGTTTAATGATCAGGATGGGAACCCAAAGTATGACCGTCCTTTAATTGTGCAATTTTGTGCCAATGATCCAGAAATCTTGTTGCAAGCGGCAAAGTTGGTTGAAAATCAATGCGATGCTGTTGATTTAAACTTGGGATGTCCTCAAGGGATTGCGAAAAAGGGCAAATATGGGTCATTTTTGATGGAAGACTGGGATTTGATTCACAAATTAATTGGGAATCTACATGACAACTTGTCTATTCCCGTGACGGCAAAAATTAGAGTGTATGATGATTACGAAAAGTCGTTGAAATATGCCCAAATGGTGCTAAATGCAGGTGCCCAGTTTTTAACTGTACATGGAAGAACGAGGGAAATGAAGGGTCAAAATACAGGACTTGCTAGTTGGAAAATATTGAGGTACCTTCGAGACAAGTTACCTCAAAGTCAGGTATTTTTCTCCAATGGCAATATCTTGTATGCCAATGATTTGAAACGATGTCGTGAAGAGACCAATTGCGATGCAGTAATGTCAGCAGAAGGTAATTTATACAATCCAGGAGTATTTTGGACAAAAACAGACGACATTGACATGCAATTTCCAAGAGTCGACAAGATTTTACGTGAATATTTTGAGATTGTCAAGTCAGTTGATCCACATCCAGCATCGCGGCATTCGATGAAATCCCATTTCTTCAAATTGATGCACGAGTTTCTAAATGTGAGGACAGAACTACGTCCCATGATTGGTAGAACCAGTGTGCATTCATCGTTTGACGAGTGGGAAAAAATTGTTGAAGAAGTTGAGCGAATTGTTGAAAAGGAGGTGTTGACGATGGACAATTTTGGGGAGTTGGATGTGGTTGTTGATGGAGAGTTGCAAGTGTGGGGTGGCCATTACAAGACTGTTCCATATTGGCGATGCCAACCGTTTTTCAGAAAAGTTGACGGCGAAAGACAAAATACCAGATTGTTGAAAGTTGCAGGAGAGAGCGACTTGATGGTTACATCAAACGAGGCTAAAGAGAAGTTGCTTAAGCGTGAATTAGAAGTGGAAGGAGAAGGAGAAGGAGAAGAGGAGGATGGCGCTGCAAGGAAGAAAATAGCAACGTGAGTTGTACAGAGTAGAATTTGGTTTCAGCAATAAAGAAAATAGAATCTGAGACATTTTCCCATTTATAGCATACACAACTCTATTCAAACTCTTTACTTAATGTGTCTCCATCCCACCAACGGAATCCTAAACCATAACCCCAAGGGTCTGTTGTATACCTAGTTGGATTAACAACACCAATTTGATACAACTCATCCAACTCTTCTTTGCTCAAATCTGGCAAGTTGACAATCTCCTTGATTCTATCCAAATTCGAAGATCTGGGGATGGCAATTCTACCATTCAAGATTTGATAAGCGTCAACAATCTCGTTAGTACTAACATCGTATTTCTTGGCCAATTCCTGAACCAATGGCAATTTCAAAACCGGTGCTCCTGTACCTCCAACTGGCGAGTATGCTTCAACAATGATTTTATGTTGGTTACAGAAATCCACCAAATTTTGTTGTGGCAATTGAGGATGATATTCAATTTGGTTCACTACTGGAACATGCTTAACATGAGGCAACAATTGACGAAGCTTGGGCAAGGAATAGTTTGAAACACCAATTGATCTAGTTTTCTTGGTGTTGTCCAAGATTTTCTCCAAACTTTGATACACTTCGATAAACTTGGTACCAGTAGCTGGATCATCATCATATATCAAGTTTCCCTTGTCGTCTTTTGGAGCAGTTGGCTGGCCGTTTTCATCACCATGTAATTCGACTGGCCAATGTTGCAAGAACAAGTCAACATAATCCAATCCAAGGGTCTTTAATGAAATGTCTAGTGACTTTTCGGGACTGTGCCAAAATGAGGGCCACACTTTAGTGGTGATAAACACATCTTCTCTCTTAACGATGCCCTCGTCAAAAACTTCCTTCAAAGCCTGGCCAACGTACTTTTCAGTACCATAGTACCACGCGGTATCGATCAAGCGGTATCCAGCTTTGATTGCTGTGACGACTTGATCTTTAACCTCACTTGGATCATCTGGTGGAACAGTACCCAACCCCAAAGCCGGGATTTTGATACCATTATTTAAAGTGAAGTATACATCAGTAGCTTTTTTAATTGGAGTAGTCATTGTGCAGGCAATAGTTTATGCAATTGAGGTGTAGTTGTAATAAATTTCAAGGGGCGAGGGGTGGGAGGTGAAGAGAAATGAAAGGGGGTATTTATATAAATGTGGAGGGAGCGCAAAGAGCAAAGGTCAAAGAAAAGTGTGGTTTGCTATTTACAAAAGTCAATGGGTGGGGGTGCAATTGTGTCCTCTAATATTTTTGCTTTATTGTACTACTACTAGTAATTGAATTGTATATAATTCAAGTATAATATAAAGGTCGATTGCTCTCTATATTGAATGAACACTATACCGCGTCCAGTGGTTTATAAAAGTTCATGCAAGCTTTCAACACTATTGCACCCCCACTCCCCCCTCACCCACTCACTTAGAGGTAAATCTGAAAAATATAAAAAAAAAAATAAAAAAAAAACACAGAGAAATTGCTTAGCCACCTCTGTTCTGAGTACAAAATAATTACTGATGACGTTACCAACACATAAAAGGTAAGAGTGTTAAAGCAATTCTATCACACTACTGCTTCAAGTCTTATACGTCCAACCACAAGCATGCTCAACATCACACTGGGTCAATGAGTCTGCCATATGAGCGCAACTGAAAACCACAGAATATAAGAGAAACAACGGAGAAGGGAATTCCGTTGATTGCGAGGAAGTACAAAAACCTTACATAATTCGAATCTGAGACACACGCACAGCAAGCAAATTATACTAGACACCACACTCCTCTGCTACT